ACGTCAGATGCTCGAGAGCCGCATGCCGTGAACAAATATTACACGTTTTTTGCTGGGAAATATGCAAACTTGCTTTTGATTTAACATTAAACGAGACTGCCAAAAATAATATCAAAAGGGGTAAAAGCAGATATTGATAAGGATATAGGTAAGTGCAATTAACCAATCAGCAGAGGATTTGCAATCCTTTTTTGTATGTGTGGAAAATCCTCGGACTTCCTACTTGTGTCCCATGTGCTGCGATGGGTCTCAAAACCGGTCAGATGTCCCTGGAAACTCGGGCCTGACCATCAAATTTTGGTTGCGCCTTCTGTTTAATCCTGACCTGGATTCTTTTACCTTTTGAATGCTGACAGATCATTGTGAACCTAATTGCCTGAAATTAGTCCCCCAAAAAATTAGGTCCTTAGGAATGGACTTTTATCTCTGATATGCCAATAAAAGTTGCCTGTCTGATAAGGATATTTATTTGTCCGATGATATTTGCTTGCTGGTGATATTTCGCTTCCCCAGCCGCCCTGCCGGGAGCCGCACAATATGTGTGAAAGAGCCACGTTCCTGAGCCACGGTTTCCCCCCTCCCCTGCTCTAACCGCTACATGAAGCATCAGAGGAGGTCATTTTCGTTCCTCAAGATAGTTTTTGGGAAGGACTTAAAACTGTTGTCTCATACACTGAATCTCTACAGATATGGGGGGGCATGACTCAGTGGTAGAGCATCTGCTCGGCATGCAGAAGGTCCCAGGTTCTTCATCAACATAGTGTTTGGGAAGGACTTAAACCTGTTGTCTCATACACTGAATCTCTACAGATATGGGGGGTGGGGGCATGACTCAGTGGTAGAGCCTCTGCTCGGCATGCAGAAGGTCCCAGGTTCGATCCCCGCCATCTCCAGTTAAAAGGACCAGGCAGGAGGTGATGGGAAAGACCTCCACCTGAGACCCTGGAGAGCTGTAAAGAGTGGCTGTGGCTCAGTGGTAGAGCATCTGCTTGGCATGCAGAAGGTCCCAGGTTCAATCCCCAGCATCTCCAGTTGAAAGGACCAGGCAGGAGTTGATGTGAAAGCCCTCTTCCTGAAACCCTGGAGAGCTGTAAAGAGGGGCCATGGCTCAGTGGTAGAGCATCTGCTTGGCATGCAGAACGTCCCAGGTTCAATCCCCAGCATCTCCAGTTCAAAGGACCAGGCAGGAGGTGATGGGAAAGACCTTGACCTGAGACCCTGGCTCAGTGGTAGAGCCTCTGCTTGGCATGCAGAAGGTCCCAGGTTCAATCCCCGGCATCTCCAGTTAAAAGGACCAGGCAGGAGGTGATAGGAAAGACCTCTGCCTGAGTCCCTGGAGAGCGGCTGCCAGTTTGAGTAGTCAACACTGACTTTGATAGACCGATGGGCCTATTCAGTATAAAGCAGATTCATGTGGGGAGAGAGAGAGAGAGAGAGATGCAGTTTCTCTTTTTTATATGTAATTTTGTTATTTCATACATAAGACAAACAAGACAAACATACAAACATGGGGATCTTGTTTGTCTCATTGATTAGCCTAATTATTGACCTCATAAAGTATCAAAAACATCCATTTCTTTCTTCCGCCTGATAATTTCCATATATACCTTTTGCTTAGATTTGAATGTATAGTTTCTAATATCCTTTTATTCCGAGAGAGATGCAGTTTCCATCTTCAAACCTGCGTATGATCCAGACTTGAACCTTCCAGCATCTGGTCTCTGCAGTCCAATTTGTGTCTTCTACACTGACAGCAATCTGTCTTAAAGGATCAAAGGGAAAAGAAGACGCGGTCGTCTCTCCATTGAATTTTGACTTCCAGCTTTTTTGCAGTCGCAGACTTGAAAACAGAAAGAGCCCGAACGGAACCATAAAGCGATTTTGCGCTCCCGGGAGATCCCTTTTAAACTGCGGGTTTGTCTTGGGGCCCTGAATCTGACCGGCTGCTTCACGACGCTGTCCTAAACAGAGTGACCCTTTTCAAAACCCATCGACTTCAATGGAATGCGAAGGGGGTTAACTCTGCGTAGGATGGCCCTGGTAGACTTGGTTTGGGGTGGGCCAGGTTAGTTTCTGTGCCCCCTCAGCTACGGCGAGCCTAGAGCATCCGACCTGAAGGACAGTCAAGTTTCAGGCAGTTATAACCAGGAGACCAAACTCGGTCCCAAAAGTTTGCATATTTTCCCATCGTGTTGTTTTTGATATTTTTTTAACGGCACCGATTGTGTTCTAGCAGAAAGCGATTTGCATTTTTCCTCTGGACATTTATGCGAGAAGGTGACGTGGTCGGTTTGCATAAGGTTCCACAGCCGGGTCGGGGCTTGTGCCTGCACTGGAATTCATTTATTTATACCCCTCTTTGCTCCCGACATGGGCTGCGGTGGCTCAGTGGTTAAGACGCTGAACTGCAGACCGGAAGTTCGGTAGTTCGGCAGTTCGAGACCCGAGTGCTGGGTGACGGAGCGAGCTCCCGTCTCTGGCCCCAGCTCCTGCCAACCTAGCAGTTCAAAAACAAGAGACTGCAAGTAGATAAACAGGTACTGCTTCGGTGGGAAGGTAACAGCGTTCCGTGCGCCTTGGCGTCTAGTCATGCCCAGCCACATGACCACGGAAATGTCTTCGGACAGCGCTGGCTCTTCGGCTTGGAAATGGAGATGAGCACTGCACCCCTAGAGTCAGATTCAACTGCCTTTCGAGCAAGGGAAACCTTGCTCCCCACGGTTGGGACTCAAAGCGGCTTTCGAACAACACACTCCCCTCCTCTGTTTTCTCACAACAAGAAGACTGTGGGGTTGGCTAGACTGAGATTGTGATGGGCCCAAGGTCACCCGGTGAGCTTCCCAGGGTCGTAGTCCATGGCTCTGGAGAAGTGACGCCAACAGAATTCATACAACAAAACCTTAAAACTTGACAAAAGTTCCACAGGTTTTCTTCCCTGACCGAAAGGGCCCCAGTGTGCTGCTATGAACCACAGAGACTCCGTCAGCCTGTCTTTTTCCTTATTAGCCTGTCTTTTTCTCTCTCTATACGGGCAGCTATTTCAATCAGGGAATCGGCATAGTAGACAGAGTTAAACCCTCCCTGAGCCCATTTCCAAACTGAGGGTCTTGTGGATGCTTTTAGGGGATACAGTCATGATAAACACAAATGTGAAGCTGCCCTATACTGAAGCAAACCAAGTCTATCGAGGTCAGTATTGTCTACTCAGACTGGCAGCAGCTCTCCGGGGTCCCACCTAGAGGTCTTTCACATCCTGGAGATTCCGGGATTGAACCCGGGACCTTCTGCATGCCGAGCAGATGCTCTTACCACTGAGCCATGGTCTCAGGCAGAGGTCTTTCATGTTACTTACCACCTGGTCCTTTTAACTGAAATCAACAGGGATGGAACCTGGGACCTTCTGCATGCCAAGCAGATGCTCTGCCACTGAGCCAAGGTCTCGGGCGGAGGTCTTTATCATCACCTACTGCCTGGTCCTTTTTAAGTGGGGATGCCGGGGATTGAACCTGGGACCTTCTACATGCCAAGCAGAGGCTCTGCCACTGAGCCAAGGTCTTGGGTCGAGGTCTTTATCATCCCCTACTGTCTGGTCCTTTTTAAGTGGGGATGCCGGGGATTGAACCTGGGACCTTCTACATGCCAAGCAGAGGCTCTGCCACTGAGCCAAGGTCTTGGGTCGAGGTCTTTATCATCCCCTACTGTCTGGTCCTTTTTAAGTGGGGATGCCGGGGATTGAACCTGGGACCTTCTACATGCCAAGCAGATGTTCTGCCACTGAGCCACGGCCCCTCCCCAGTGATTCTGAACGATGATTCTTCAGGATCAAACCCAGTTTCGCCTTTATTCATCTTTCTCTGAACCACCCCATCCTACCACTATGGTTTGCCCCATCTGGCCCCACCCACTTTCTAATAACTCTTGGGGGGCACCGCGTTGGGGACTCCTGCCCTGGGTGAAATATGACACGAAGGAATGATTGTCAGAGTTACTAATGGGAGAAGAATCCACCTGTCGAGTTTGTTCTTCTGGTGGTTGGGTTTTTTTAACGGTTTGCAAATGAAGGGCGCACAAACAACCTGTATTTGCACTATGGAAATATCGAACGGGCTCCATTCAAATGCAGACTGCTCCTGTTTCCGTTTAGGGGGGGGAAATAAGACGCAGAGTGATGTCATCCATCCTAGAGCAGGATGGCTCCTGCGCCTTTCATAATGGTGTGGACTCGGCACCTGTCAGGCCAACATGATTTTTTATTCCAGCGTCAGCATTTGTGGATTAGAGTCCCCCTCATTGGATGCACAAGTGGATTTTTGTGTGTTCTGTCTGCATATGTTCTGTTCAAAATCCATCTGTAGTCATGCCATACCCATCAAGGATCCATTTCAGGCACCCATCTCACACTGTGTGGGCCACAACAGCTTCTGCGGGAATAAAAACTGTTCAGTCTTCAAAGAAGGAGGAGGAGGTGATTGGATTTCTACCCCGCCCTTCACTTGGAGTCTCAGAGCAGCTTATAAACTCCTTTCCCTTCCCCTCCCCACAACAGACACCCTGGGAGGTAGGTGGGGCTGAAAGAGCTCTCCCCAGAACTGTCCTTGAGAGAACAGCTCTTATCAGAACTATGGCCTGCCCAAGGTCATCCAGCCAGGTGCAAGTGGAGGAGTGGGGAATCAAACCCGGTTCTCCCAGATTAGAGTCCGCGCACTTCACCACGACACCAAACTGGGGTTGTAGTGGTTAAGACCAGCAAACTCTAATCTGGAGAACTGAGTTTAGTTCCCCACTCCTCCCCATGAAGGAGGATTAGCAAACGTTTACGAGTCTGTTCCTAATTTCAGGGCCGCGAGGAAAAAGTTCACTTCCCTAAAATGTGACAGCACGGAGGAAACTTTTTTAAAAACCTGATTAATGGCTCGCCCTCGGGCAAAGTACGTATAAACAAATGAGAGCTTCTGTAGAGCAGAATATACGTGGCACACCTGTCCGTCTCTCCTCCCCAGCGAATCTTTCCCTTTGAGCTGGAGGACGGGATGGAGGGGGAGCAGCCGCCGTTCTTTTCAGGGAGACAGTCCGACTTGGGGACTGAGAAACCACCTTCAGAGATGGTGAAGGACCTGGTGCTGAGATGGTTTTCGGACGTTCAGGCACCCCTCCTATCCCAGGACGGCACTTTACCGGGATGGTTCCACGGATTCATTACAAGGAAGTAAGCCGGCCTGTCGCCTCGAGTCAAGGTGTTGAAAACTGGAATGTTTTAGATAATCGTCTCTCTTTCCAGGAAGAGAGATTTGATCCGAGCGGGGAGCCGACGTGGCACAGGGGTTAAAAGGTCGGGCTAGGGTCTGGGAAACCCAGGTTCGAATTCTCTGCTCTGCCACCAAAGCTCGCTGGGTGACCTGGGGCCAGTCACGCAGTCTCAGCCTAACCTTCCTCGCAGGGTTGTTGGGAGAATAAAACAGAGGAGAAGAGAACGATGAAGGTCAGTTTGGTGTAGTGATTAGGAGCGCGGACTCTAATATGGGAGAACTGGGTTTGATTTCCCACGCCTCCCCGTGCAGCCGCTGGTGTGACCTTGGGTCAGTCACAAGTTCTTCCAGAGCTGTTCTCTCAAGGGCAGTCCTTGAGAGAGCTCTCTCAGCCCCATGTACCTCACAGGCAGTGTTCCCTCTAAGCTGAGTTAGTGTGAGCTAGCTAGCTCACAGTTCTTTAGCCTCCGGCTCACACATTTTTGTCTTAGCTTAGGAAGGATGGCTCCAGAGGAAACTGGAGGAAATTTGCAGTAGCCAAATCGCAGAGGAAATTTGCAGTTGCCAAATCGCTCGCTCACGACTTTAATGGCAGTAGCTCACAAAGTAGAATTTTTGCTCACAAAACTCCACTGCTTAGAAGGCGCATTGCTCCCAGGGTGTCTGTTGTGGGAAGTGAAAGGGATTGCAAGCCGCTCCGAGACTCCTTTAGGTAGTGAAGGGTGGGGTATAAATCCAATCTCTTCCTCTTTTACTTCTCTTTGGGTGCGTATCAGGGCAGAAAGGTGGGATACGAATAAAGTCAATAAATAAATGAGGCAAGATTTCTTTGCCATCTACTTAAATAGTTAGCAAAGTACGGGATTTGGGTCTCGGAAAGCGAAAACATGACGCGAGGGAGGCATTGAGTGAGTGAGGCTTTTCCCAGCCCTGAGACCAGTTGATGGGAAAAGGTTCAGCTGCTTAATTTTTTGCATCCGGGGACGCTTGCCCGTGGCAGAACTCTGCAAATTTGACTACTGAGTATTCACTAGGAACCTGGCCACCATCTAATGATACTTTACTTCGACAAATTATCTTTTTAAAAATGATTTGGTATGGCTGATGCTAGCCCAGACCTGATCTCAATGGCCCACGCGAGGCCAATCTCTGCAGATCTCAGAAGCTAAGCAGGCTCAGCCCTGGTTGGTATTTGGAAGGGAGACCTCCAAGGAATACCAGGGTTGTGACATGGGAGCAGGCAATAATGAACCGCCTCTGAACATTCTTTATTTTATTTATTTATTTATTGTCGCATTTCTTCCCCGCCCTCCCCGCGAGCGGGCTCAGGGCGGCTTACAATAAGGCACCATGTGCCAATAAACATAAAACAGCCTAAAAACAAGCTAAAACAATCTACGTTACAGTGCTCAGTGGTTACAATCGAAACTAACAAGATGGAATCAGATTGACAAGATGGACTCCCCAGAATCTTACATAACAATAGGGAGGCTAAATACTCATGGTTGTTACTCGGCCCCATCCAGCGGTACTGACCATGGCAATGTCATGGTTGATCTGGTCCACCAACGATGGTAATGGTATTGGTAGTGGTAGTGGCAGCTCCTACTCAAAAGCCTGGCGGAAGAGCTCCGTCTTACAGGCCCTGCGGAACTGTAAAAGGGCCCTGATCTCCTCCGGGAGTTCATCCCACCAGGTAGGAGCTGCCACCGAAAAGGCCCTGGCCCTAGTCTCGACGAATTTGACGTCTCTGAGGCCTGGAGTAGTCAAAAGATGTTGGCCACCCGACCGTAGTGCCCTTGGGGGAACATATGGGGAAAGGCGGTCCCTAAGGTATGCTGGACCCTGACCATAAAGGGCTTTAAAGGTAGGAACCAGCACTTTGAAGCTGATCCGGTATGCTATTGGCAGCCAGTGCAGTGACCTCAGCACAGGCCGGATGTGGTCCCGCCTAGGGAGACCCATCAACAGCCTGGCTGCTGCGTTCTGCACTAGCTGCAGCTTCCAGATTTGCGACAAAGGCAGCCCCAAGTAGAGAGTGTCACAGTAGTCCAGCCTCGAGGTGACCGTCGCATGGATCACTTAAAGCTTAAAAGATTGCAAGTCTGTTCCTTTGTTGTCCCATTTTCCTGAAAGGCGCATGCTCTGAAGAAAAATGGCCACTGCACAGAACAGACCAGCCAAAGGGCTGTCCCTTGTTGAGGGTCCAGCACCAAGAGAGAAAGAGAGCTCTCCTCCTTGAAGCAAGAACTTTTATTAAACCTGTGTCTCCACCAACTTTACATCACTCACTCAACCCCCTTTTGCTTGGTCTGCCACTGCTCTAACTGATTCATTTCTGCTTACCACTTGAAAAAATGATCAAGCTACCCTGGGATTAGAAAGCAGAGTTATGTTGGTTGGTTGTCTGTACTGATTACTTTTATGATCAATGTGATGGTAGAAAACAAATTGTATTAATGAAATTGCAAAGGCTGGTTAAGGGAGTATTTATTGGTGGCAGAATGCATAGATAAGATGACACTTTGCACATCCAGGAAATGCTTTGCTAAGTACAAAGGGGATGCAGTACTGTCACAGGACGAAGACAACCAGATGAGGGGGATAGACTGATAAATCTAGTTTAATATTGGCTGAAAGAGTAGGGCTTGGATCCTAGCACATTTTCTTCTCAATCTGATCTTATCCCTTTCCAGGAGGTGATGTGAAAGACCTCTGCCTGAGACCCTAGAGAGATGCTGCCAGTCAGAGTAGACAATACCTTGATGGACCAAGGGCCTGACGCGGTAGAAGGCAACTTCAGGTGTATCGAGTCACGGAAACACCTCTCTTTGCACAGGCAGACTGAAGAGCTCCTGAAAGATCAAGACTTTGGCTGTTTTCTCATCAGGCTACGTGAAAGAGCCTTTGGCTATATTCTCTCCTACAGGTAAGCCTTCAAATTGAGCATCTCCCTTTCCAGATGAGCGACTACCCCTTCAGGTCATTTGCTGGTGACTTTTTGGATGCTGTGACCGGCGCAAGCAGTTCCCCATCACCACAGGAACAGAGGAAGAGCCTTGCTCGATCAGATCAATGGTGCATCTAACCAGTGTTCCCTCTAAGCTGAGTGAGCCGGCTCACAGTTTTTTAGCCTCCGGCTCACACGTTTTCTTGTCTCGGCTCAGGGAGGAGGGCTCCAGAGCAAACTGATTGATGCAGCGGCCAAATCGCTCGCTCACAGCTTTGACGCCAGTAGCTCGCAAAGTAGGATTTTTGCTCACAAGGCTCCACTGCTTAGAGGGAGCGTTGCATCTAACCCAGTATCCTGTTTCCCACGGTGGCCAATGAGAAGTCCGCAGAAGGCCTACATCCAGTCAGTCAGTCATTCAGTCATTTAATTCAGTCAGTCATTCATTCCATTCATTTGTCATCCCCCTTTCTCCTTGATGGGGAGTCAAACCAGCATACATTAGGGGTCCCCAGCCTTTTTGAGCTGGCAGGCACCTTTGGAATTCGGACACAGAATGGTGGGTGCAGTCACAAAATGGCCGCCACAAAATGGCTGCCAACGGAGGCAGAGCCAGCCATAAAATGGATGCCATGGCTTACCTTCAGTCACACAGTGAAGATCCTCGTGCTGTCATGGGAACTGCTGCCAAGGCAACATTAAAAACAAACAAACTACACAGCCAATCGACTCTCCAAGGTCCAATCCAAAGCCTTGCTGGGCAAAAGCCACAATAAATAAATGAGGCAAGATTTCTTTGTCATCTACTTAGGTAAAGGTAAAGGTAAAGGTTCCCTTGCTCGAAAGCCAGTCGAATCCGACTCTAGGGTTGCGGTGCTCATCTCCGTTTCAAAGCTGAAGAGCCAGCGCTGTCCAAAGACGTTTCCATGGTCACGTGGCCGGCATGACTAAACACCGAGGCGCACGGAACGCTGTTACCTTCCCACCGAAGTGGTACCTATTGATCTACTTGCAATTTCTTGCTTTCGAACTGCTAGGTTTGGCAGGAGCTGGAACTAGAGACGGGAGCTCACTCTGGTCTCGAACTGCTGAACTACCGACCTTCCACAGCCTGCAGTTCAGCGTCTTAACCACTTGAGCCACCGCAGCTCCTGTCATCAAATAGTTAGCAAAGGACGATATTTGCGTCTTGGAAAGCGAAAACATTACAGGAGGGAGGCATTGAGTGGGTGAGGCTTTCCCCAGCCCTGAGACCAGTTGATGGGAAAAGGTTCAGCTGCTTAATTTTTTGCATCCGCGGACGCTTGCCCGTGGCAGAACTCTGCAAATTTGAC